TGACTTACACTGTTACAGTCCTTTCCACGTTAATTTGTAGTTTTATATAAAAAAACAAATTTTATTTTATCACAAAAGTTACATGCAAACTGAAAACAAAATAAGTAAATGTAGCCAAATTCTTTAGTGTGTAATTGTAACATGAAAATATATTTAAATATGACGTTGGGACAGCACAACCATACCTTCCTATAATTTTTCTTTTGTTCTTCAGTGAGATCCAGTTCTCTTTCGTTTGCAACAGCAGCTGCAACAAATGGATCACCAGAATTGCCATCAATGTCATCAATCTCCTCTACCTCATCGACCCCAGGGAACTTAAGTCCCATCTCAGCAGCTTGCTGTGGCGTACTGGCCAAATAAACAGAAGCCCAGTGCTTACTGCCAAACGAGGCACCACCCGCAGTTGCACCATCAGAAAATAATTTGTTGAAAGAACCCCAGTAATCAACATCAGCTGTCACAGCATCCTTGCTTCCATCTATGGCTAGTTTTTTCTGCAGAAATCCACTAGCACCATCCTCCAATAGTTTACCGTGTCGCCTAAGTCCACAAAAGCAGAATCATGTACCATCAACTTCATACCTTGCAGAATCAATAATGCTAAAAGGAAAGAACTGTACCTTCTCACGGGTCTGTGGGTTTGAAGATACTGCTCCGCATCAGCCCTTGACTCAGTAAATTCTCCAGTCTCTTGAGACCCTACCCAGTGTATCCGTCTTTTCCAAGCTTCAGTGCAGCAACCATTCTGAGCCTGACTTTCAATGCACTTATAAAGGCTCGGTAGCTCAATGCCAGCCCCATCAAGTTGTTCCTATTTACAGAAGCATATAATAAAAGAGGTCAGAAAGTAAAAATACATTTCACTTGTTTATATTATACTATCAAAAAGGCAAAAGAATTACAGAAAGAAGGCAGCTACAATCCCTTGGGCAACCTGATTAATTCAAAAGGTGCAATATATTTTACTTGCAACCATATTTTAATAAACAAAAATAAACAAAGAGATTGCATGGAATGCCCACAATAACAAATGAAAGGTGTGCTAAAATCCCAATCATCTAATCATTTGGAGTTTTCGTCAATATAAATACAGCACTCAGAACCAAATGAGGGGTAATTAGCCAAATTCGTGTCCAACTTGTATAAGTCACAAGAAGAAGCAAATCCTTCTCTCTCCTGATTTATATTTTCGGTAGAAATTTATTATATCAGATTCAAAATACATGAGAGCCCTAAACAATGCATTAGGAACCAAAGATTTACTCAGGTTGAAGAAAGAAGCAGACCAACAAATGAGCACTCTCAGTCTCAAGTTCATCAAGCTCAGCTTGCCACTCTTCTATCAAAGTATCCATTTCTTCTGCAACAGCTGCTTCCAACTATAGACAAGAAAAAAAATGCATAAGTGATTGATAAAGACAATGTAATCCAGAAGGAAGAATTTGAAGGAAGAAACTAACATCGTCCCCATGAAGAGTTTGTGCCAACTCCTTTCTAACTTCACTCTCCACTTTGGCAAGAGACTCTTTCTCAAGTGCCTCTTGAGCCTCTGCAGCCTATATTGAGCGTCAAACAAAACTAACAAATTAAGCAGCACGTGCATAAAACATATATAAATATGTGTATCTGTGTAAAGAAAAAATAGATACCTTACTCTCAACCTCCAAAAATTCAGCAATGAGCTCCTCTATTTCTTTATCCGATAATGGTTCCTGCATAACAAAGATCAAATTGTCATACTTTTGGAAATAAAAATAAAAGGCTTCAAGCTTTCCAAATATAGATAATAGCAGTAGAGTGCGACAGCAGTATCTAATTGGTTCGTAGCTTCCTTGAGAAAATAAATTATGGCGAATAAAAAACTATCATGAGTGAGGACTTGCCTCTATATGCGATTTTTCATCTTCTCCGGATATCGCTACTTCATCAACTTCTGAATCATCTATAAAAGAATCACTATCACTGCCACTAGAAGCACTCCCAATATTTTCCACTTGCTCATGGCTTTCCTCCACTTGCTCGCCGTTTTCCTCCATTGGCTCATGGCTTTCCTCCATTTTACTGCCCAACAAGACCAACGCACATAAAACTCAAAAGCAAGCCTCAAAACAAGTACATAGGAAAGCCAAAACAGCTCACTTAATAATTCGTAATGCTGAGTTGCTCTCACCCAAAACCGGCCTACTCTCCGGTCAACGAAATTAAAAACAAACCCAAACGATAACATCACCACATAACCAATTTCATAAGTTGAGAACCGGTGCAATTCTAATCCAACTCTCAAATGATAAACACATAAATCTCCAACAGTCCAGGCAAAAATGGCATATGAGTTCATACCAAAACTTCATCCCTTACTATTTGATTAAATTGATTACCTTTATGGGATAATTGGTTAAAAAAATCGAAGTTTTCGAGACGATTTTCGATTCAACAAAGTAAAGCCCACATTCCTACTTGCATAAAAACCAAAACTTTTCATTTGGGCATACCAAAACACCATATTTCTATCTTCCCCAAATAACCAAACGATCAAAGTTTTGCGCCGTTTCCAGAAACAAGAAGAAGAAGAGGATGATGATGAAGAAGAAGAAGAAGCAAGGAACCTGAAGCAACTTACCGGAAAGGGAAGAAAGCCCACGTAGCTACGGTGACGAGAAAATGCAGAGCCTTCGTGGTCTCTCTCTTCTCTCTCTCTCTCTCTTCTGTGTGTACAGAGCAGAATATGCCCCGTGTACTATGTAGTACTGTGTCTGATGTTTGAATCTGTTTGAATCGAATTGAACGGGGATGAAAGAAATGGTTGATTTCCCCAAAAAACAAACAACGAAAAAAAAAATGGAAGAAGGCGGGTGGCTAGTTGTTTTTCTCTTTTGGTCCCCCAAATTTTGTGTAATTTCAAGATCTAGGGTTTTCGATTTTGTGTTTAATGTCAGCTAATGATTCGTGCAAAAGTTTAACAAAACTATCGGAGATGTTTTTAAAGTGAGGATTATTTAATTAATTTGTAATTGTATTGGTAACTTTGAAAAATTAAAAGTCACTACTTTGGAAATTTTTATATATTTTAACTTAAAAAAACACAATACCATCGCACTTACGATATAATAAAAATTTATGAAACTTATAAAATATGATTAGTCATAATTTTTTTCTAAACACAAAATTAGGTTGAAATAAAATCATATCTTGATGATCCACGTCAACCTTTACTTTATTGAGCAAGAATTTTATTGTTTTCATAGTTTAAGATTCTAAGTACTTATTGATTGTTTTAATGATTAGAGCAGACGAATTTATTTTATAACGAAACATAGCTTTTTAATAAAATGACTCTCAAATGCTCTAAGATATTGATGAGTGGTGTTAAGTCTTTCAATATCCAAAAAGATTCAATAACCGTAAATTCTTCATTGCTTTTATTCTCAAATTGCCGTCATATACCACCAAACTTCTAATCTACGAGTATTTCTCTTTTCGGTAAAAAATGAGGTCTTAAGTTTGAGTCTTAAAGTTTACTACCTTAAAGTTTTTTGGTTTTCAACATTTAGTATATAAAGTTTTTTTCATCTCAGAGCGGTACATAAAGTTATAATTTTAGAACACTTTCATACATCCGTTAAGGTTGCTGTTAAATTTACGTTTAACTGATGACATGGCATCCACGTGAACAATAATTAAGCAATATTAAAAAATAAAATAATAAATCAATAAATCAATAAAAACTAAAAAATTAAAATAAACTTTTTGGCGTCTTCGACACCACCCACTCCATTTCTCTCTCTTTCTCCCTCCCACATCATCCAAGCACGGATTGACGGTGAGTTACTGGACTGAAGGGGTCCCCTCTGAAAAAAGAACTGGCTTTGGCCGAACAACGACGGCTGCTGCTGCAAAGAACCAATACTACTCCGCTGTGTTGGTAGCAGCAAGTTGAATGCAAACCCGCCTGACGACGATGATCCACCGTCGTTACCACCGCTATCTCCACCTCCGCTGTTCCAAGCCATCATTCTTTGGAATCTGTTCATCTCTCACTGCTGCTGGTTGTGGTGATGCTCTGCCCACGCGGCGGAGGACCCATCAAACCCGATCGGGTTTTGGGATCTGGAGAAAAAGGATTGCTCGTTTTGATGGGTCTGAGCGTGGTGCTGGTGGAGGAGAATTGGGTCTTGGAAGGATTAAAGAGAGAGGTGCAGATCTTGGCTCTGGCTAGTGGCTGCTGGTTCTGGAGAGTAAATCAGGTGGGTAGAACTGATGAAACTGTATCGTCGACGACGGAGCCTCAGCTGCAGCTGCGACTGCGGAAGCACCCGTTGGGAAAAAGGACTTTATGGTGTCTGCAATGGCGTCCGAGTCGAGCGACGGTGGGAGGAAAGTCGAGTTGCTATTTGGGTTCTGAACAATTTGCTATGTGGGTCTTGCTGGAAACACGGAAAGTTGAAAACTTGGTGGTGATTCTGCTGGGTTTGTTGTTCGATTTCTTCTTCTTCTTCTTGGACAAGATGGGTAAAATTGAGAATTGGGTTTTGGTGGAGATAATGGTGGTGGTGATGAGGATCCAGAGTCAGAGAGAGATGTGGGAGGGAGAGAGAGAGAGAGAAGTGGAGTGGGTCGAGGCGAAGATGGAGGGGGAAGGGTGGGTGCCACATCATCATCAGTTATTGTTCACGTGTCATCTAGTTATTGTTCACGTGGATGCCACATCATCTGTTAACGATAAATTTAACAACAACCTTAACAGATGTATGAAAATGTTTCAATATTATAATTTTATGTACTACTCTAAAATAAAAAAATTTCGTGTATCAAATATTAAAAACCAAAAAACAGCAGTAAACTGAGATAAATCTTAAAAAAAAAAAAAAACAAACGTTATATTTATATATAAGTCATACATGCACTATTTTGTGCACCAACCAAAAGCGTTTGCAATATTTTTACAATGAGTCCATCATCCAAGTGAAATAATGGCAATATATTTTCTGTTGAAAAAAACCAAAACAAAAGCTCAAAAAAGAAACTAAATATAGTAAATGTCTGAAATCGGGTCGAAAAGAAGATCCAATTGGACCAATTTAAGCAACCCGGCCCAAATCATAAATGTCTGAAATCGGGTCGAAAAAGAAGATCCAATTGGACCAATTTTAGTCACAGTCGTCTTCTTTCTTTGACCAAGACCTGACGAACAAGAGAAAAATGAAGGCAAAAGCCAAAGCAGCTGCTCCTCCCACAAGAATTGCCACCTTTTTCCCACTTCCCCCATTTCCTCCACCTTTGTTTTCTGCAAATAAAAACAATTAATTGGGAACATTAAATTAACAATTAAGTTTATAATTATATATGTATCAGGAGTTTCGTTGAAACGTCATCTCAAGCTAATCGTGCATTTCATGTGAAAAAGGTAGAAATGCATGACAATTTACGTAATTATCTAAAGGATAATGTTATCTACACACCTACTTCTTACACACCTTCTTAATTGTTAGATGTCGGATTGAATGAATTAAATAAGATAAATGACAAAAAATTAATAAAAGTATGCGAAAGTTAAAAATGAGTGTATAAATAGCATTATTCTGCTAAAAAATAAAACATTTCCCATCACTTAATGCTATGTTTGGATGAAGAAATTTAAGCTTACTAAGGAATTTTAAAATGACGGAAATTGAAATGACAAGATTTTATTTTCTATAATTTGTGAATTTTCTTGTTTGGTTAACCTAGAAGAACAAAGGAATTGAATACGAAACTTGTTATTTTTAAAATCTCAATCATAGAAATTAGAAAACGACACATATTTACATGGAATTTAAACTTTGGAATTGGATGTCCCAAATTCCAAGTTTTTTTTTCCACGCGAAAATTCTAAAATTTCTATATTTATTAATCCAAACAAGAGAATTGGTGCATATGAATTATAAATTTTGACTTTTAACCAAATTCCAAATTTATTTCCCTTAACCAAACATAGTGTAAAGAAAATTGTGATTTCCGCACCTCTTTTTTTTTTTTTTTTTTTTTTTTGTCGTTACATTTTTTATTTAATTATTTTCTAGTTTTTGGACTGAATATCAATCATAAAAAAACATTAACAAAAGAAAAACTTTAGGAGAGTATGAAAAATACTAACCAATTAAAAACTTAATAAAATATGAAAAATAATTCTCAAATTCAATCACTTGGATCATGCAATCCGTCGTTTACCACAGTGGTGTAAAGGTATTTAGCGCTTGCATGATAGCGTGAGTTCAAATTCCGTCGATGACTACTCTAACATTTAATCTAACAAATTTTATGGTTTGATAAAATATAAAAAAAAACTCACCTCGATCATCTGGGTGGTCAACTGCAGGTATCCCATCTGGATGATAACTATAGCTCAAGAAGCACTCCTCCAAATAAATCTGCCCAGAAACAGCACCACCACATTCCTCTTCAGCACTTTGTACCGCCCTACTCACACACTCTCCACACACGCAACCCCCCAAGCCCCCGACACACTGAGCCATAACTTGCACCGCCTCATAACTCGTTTGGCAAAACCCACCACCATCCGCAACGCCGCTCTCCAAGGCAGCAAACGCCGCAGCTCTCATTTTCTCAAACCCTGCCGCCACCCCATTTTCCAAATCCTTCCCACAAGTCTTCTGCATTAATCTATGGCTGGAGGGCTTTGAGTCGACTCCATCGAGCTCGTAGCGCACGTAGCACCCATGCAGCTGAACACGAGCCGAAACCGACTCTTTGCACAAGGTGTTCGATAAGTTACGAAGGGTGTTCACGCAGGTGTGACACTCCTCATTGCTGATGTCCTGCCGGCACTGGAAGAGGCCGGAAATACCCGCCTCGTTGTTGTCTCCGCTGGCTTCGGCGTGCTTATAGAACTTTGATTGGGAGGAGTGTGATGTCAGTTGTTGAAAAAAAGATGAAAGGGTTTGTTGTGGGACTTGCGATTTAGTTGGGAGAGCTGTAAATGTTTGATTTGCACATTTCTTGTATACCAAACTGTTGTAGTCGGAATTAGGGTTTGCAGATGATGCGAGAGAAAGTAGAAGTAGTAGCGATGCAAAACGGAGAAAGGTTGAATCCATTAGGGTTTTAAGATCATTAATTAGGGTTTGAAGACTGTGCAATGAGATTGCATTTTTCAATCTGTTGGTTTTCTTTTTGTGCTTTGGGATATGGGAAGTTGAGATTTAGCGTTTTTTTCCGGCCCACTTCTGTCTAACTTTGGTGAAGACTTGCGACTTTCTTCACCAGAAGGGTTACAAGTTTTTCAAATCAGCAGCAAAGAAAAACATATATAGTTAGGTGTCTTGTTGTAGAATTAATCATGTAAAGTTTGCGTAAGTTACATGAACAAAGATAATTTGCTTTGATCAAAGTATACGAGAGTAATTACACATTAAAAGTTCAAATAAGGCATAATGACCCTTTAAAAGTGTCAATAATAATTCTCGTATAATATGAACATGTAAAACAAGAAGTATGAAGTTCCCATACAATATTAATGTTCTTTAGGCAAGAATCACTGGATAACGGTCATACCATCAATCGTATGGTATTACTAAGCTATGTACATGGGGGGATCCATCTTGGGCAAGGTGACATGGGTCAGCTGCCCCTATTAAGCTCAGAAATTCTCTATGGAAGAGTTAGGTGCTGCCCTTTGGAAGTATAAGATGCCCTTAAAAGCTACCTTTCAACTGCTCGACAAATTGCATTTATGGACACTGACTGGGTAGCTGCTAGCCTCATGCATTTATATGCATTGTTATGGGCATATGTCAATAAGCTCACTGCATAGGTTAGCATATGTTGGCGTGCTCTCTCAAAAACTATTGACATCAGTCGACATAGTCAAGCTCTTGACATATGTTGATAGGTGTACAATATGACTTGGGCAAATGACATTATGCCTACCAAATATCGATGAAATGCCAATTTGCCTGCTATTTCGTCAAAAAAAATTGCACACTTCGCGCGCTACTTTTACTAACCCCCAAATAATATTTCCATCAATCACTAACAACATACATGTTATAACAAGATGGGATTACAATAAAATAAATACACGTATTATGAATTAATGACATTAGTGCGATGATCGAACTGTCGTTGGTCCATCATGGTTGAGAGTGGTTGATCAGTTTCCAAATAGTTATGTACTTTCAAGCACTTGTAACTATATGTGTATATATGTAAACTAAATTAACAAAGTTAATAGAATTATTCGGTGTGAGGTCTTAGGAAGCTTCTAATTTACCTCTTAATTTGAAGGTGGTCAACGAAGAGAAAGCTGGCCCCGTCGTCATCGGACAAAGTAAAAAGTAAAAAGTAAAAACAGATAAATAGTAAATATAACTATGCACATTTTATTCTTAGCAAAAATAAATAAATAATTACTATGTTTATTTCACTATTTACCTTGTTTTTATCCCGTTTGATGTGTCCAAATTTTTACAATTTTAGATTTGTTCAGAAAAATTACGGTTGTAAAAACCATTCAAGTGTAACAAACTTTCCTGGCAAAAAGCCTTCAATAAAAACCCTCAAATCTCCACAAACCATTCCTCACGGCAGCACATCCTTCTCTTCCCTAGTAGATTGCACGTCTCCGGCGGCTGTAGCGACGGTCAATCGGGTAGTTAGTCGGGTTATCGTTACGGTCCGTACGAGTACGTATATGAATTAATCCAGGAGACAAATACATAAATCCAAACCCAATTCCATTCACAAATTTACCTTATTTTCTTTTTGTTAATTAGTTGCCTGCAGCAATTACTTTATTTAATTACTGTGATTGCTGCAGCAATTAATTATTTAAGAAATTAAGTATTTAAGTTTTCCGAGTTAATTACAAATCATGCCACGGCCGTTCGGCTCCTCCTTCCAGCTGCTGGAGATCAACCTGATCTCGGCGCAGGACCTGACGCCGGCGTCGAAGGCGATGCGGACGTTCGCCGTCGCGTGGGTCAACCCCAAGCGGAAGCTGACGACGCGTTTCGACCAGACCGGCCACACCAACCCGACGTGGAACGAGAAGTTCGTCTTCCGAGTTGACGACGACTTCCTCCGCGACGACACGTCGAAGATCATGATCGAGATCTACGCCTCCGCATGGCTCCGAGACGTCCTGATCGGAACCGCCGCAGTCGTGGTGAACAATTTGCAGAACAAGTCCAAGATGCGGTTCATGGCGATCCAGCTCCGCCGCCCGTCCGGCCGCCCGCAGGGGATTCTGAACATCGGGCTCGGCCTCCTCGACAGCACAATGCGGAGCATGCCGCTCTACAGCGAGCTCAGCTCCTCCGCGGTCGGGTACTGGGATCTGATGGAGGGAAAAACCGGTAACCAGAAGAGCAGCGGCCTCAATTCCAAGGATCAAGACAAATTCGTCATCTTCCAACGATCTCAGAGCGATCGGACGGGTAGCGATTCCGGATTCTCGAAATCCAGGCCCGCGTCCTCCATCTGCGATGGCGTCACAAAAATCAGGCCGTCGAACTCCACCTGCAATGCAGCCGCCTACAAGCCCAAAACTCAAGCCTCCTTCTGCAACAGCTCGATTGTGAACGGATCTGAGCTCAGCACAGAGCAAAAGAAAGGTAATGTGAACGGGTCCCTCTGCTCTGACGTTGGTCCTTCGCCCTCCGTGGTTGCGGCCGCAATCGCCAAGGGAATCTACCCGTTGCCGTACACCGGAGCCCGAGCGCCGTCGCCCGATGATGCCGGAAGCTCGTTGCTGGACGAGTGGGCGGACCAGGACAGCGTGGAAGGGTTAAAGACCAAGATCGAACGGTGGCGGACGGAGCTGCCGCCGGTGTACGACTGCGCCAAGAACAACGCAAAGAGTTCCCATATTCAGAAGCCACTCCAATCGTCCCACCGCCGTCCCAGCAGTCAGAAGACGCGGCGGAGCCGCAGCAGCGGCAAAGGATTGTTCTCCTGCTTCGCGTTGGGTTGCGAGATTTCGATCTCTTGCGGCAGCAAACCGAAGATTAACAAGAAGAGCGGGAAAGTGCACCTCAGCCCGTCCGATTTGACTTTCGACGACGACTCGTACGTACGGTAGGTCAACGTTACAAAACGCCACCGTTTCACCTTTTCCAAATTTCTTGGGGGGGGTTGACGAGATAAAAACGACGCTGATTTAATTGGATGTCGTTTTTAAAATGAAATTAAGATTTGTAGTTATATTGGGGTTGATGAATTGGAAGAACAATGGGTCGTTTGGATGGAGAAAAATATTGTTGGTGCGTTTTAGAATTAGAGAGGATTAGAGGGTGTGATGTGAAAAACAAACAAACAACCGTCCTCCTTTTTAATTTTTTTTTTTTTTTCAACTTTTACATTTGTGATTGGGGAGATTGAATAGGATTGTTTTCAATTTCAACTATTGAATTGTAAATGTTTATTTTTATGGGATTTCAACAATGTAACTATTTTTTTTCAATTTCAACGCACATGTATCTTTTAAAAAATTAAATAAAATATACCAATATGTATAGTATTAATTTTTTTAACAAACGATATTATCTATACTAACAGGGTGGGGGGAGAGCTAAAGGATGCTATCTAGTATAATTATTAGAGCTCATTTGGTAGGTGAGTGAATCATAAGGTCCTATTTGGTAGGCTAGTTAGAATAGGTTGTAACCAATTAAAATGAACTCTAATCCAATTTGCTGTTTGTTGTGCTAAAATGTGAGGTGGACAAGACTTTTATACATGGGTTACAAATCCTACCTAACCAATCCCTGCCAATTCAATCTTATCCCTAAGGTTTAAACCAATCAAGCAAACCAAACGGGCCTTAATAGCATATTTGGTAGGCTGGTTGGGATAGGTTGTGACCAATTAAAATAAACTTTAGTCCAGTTTATTGTTTGTTGTGTCAAAATGTGAGATGGACATGACTAAAACATGATGGGTTATAAATCTTGTTAACGCTAGGCCTATTAGGCCCATGCAACGACATAAGCCCAAGGAAAGACCAATAATCACAGGGCCCAAAGGGTTCTAAGAGGGTCGATTCGAGTACTTGGTTCGACTAAGACGAAAAACTACCCGATAAGTGAATATGTGAACGAGCTAACAACTTTATGGCATAAATCTCCAAGCACATAACTACTTAACCGTACGACGACATGCAAAGTAACTGAGGTTTTAGCGAGACGAACGGGGTGCCTGAACCTTAAAAGACACGCCATCTGATTGCTATAACATCTTCATTGATGAAGGCCTGGCCGAATAAGTGGAAAGTTGTGAGTAAGCTAGTACAAGTGGCATTTTATGAGACCTTAAGAAGGAGAGGCCTATATAAAGGGGTAGACACCTCCATTATGGTGGTCAGGCAAATCAGAGAATATAGTGAATGTGCGAATTATCTAACCTATTCATATACACATATTGCAAGTCATGCCTAACTAATCTGTGTCAATTAAATCTTATTCTTAAGAACCAATCTCATATAACCCACCAAACGAGTCCCAAAGGTTTTTTGAACAAGACAAGATATAATTGAGATTTAGTTTATGCTGGTCCCATAGAGTCGCATCTTTTAGAAATTATGGATTAATGGAGCCCTGTCTTGTTACTAGAATACATCAAACATGGGCTATGACACTTATCCTAGTTAATTGGATTGACATTACCAATGTCATGCTTAAGCTTTGGGATTTAACTCCAATTAGGGATGACAATATAACTCGTCAAATATGATCCTGCAAGTAGTTGATTTGAACAGTTCGGTGGCGGGAATTAAATTTCGAGTACTTTAGGGTTATAGGAAACATGGGATAATTTTTTTGGTTTCAAATTTGGTTACGATTATTGGGGTATTTACCCCGTACCCCTACCCAAGACCGAACCGTTTTCATTTTTAATAAAAAATTATAAACATTTATTATATGGAGAAACAAACTATCAATAATCATGTATTATTAAATATGGAAGTCCGTCCTAGTAATATTTGTATTATTTTATTAATAATATAAATTATGTGCTTATCAATTACCAATAATATATATATTTTTACAATGTAAATGTTTAAATTATATGCATTTGTATGAGTTGTATTGAACAAGGATTCTCTCCGGATTTTTAAAAAGAATCCGGAGAGGATCCCAAAGATCCTCATATCGTGTTTGTTTATCGTACATCGTGCGGTCATAAATTATTTTAATTTTTTATTATTTAAAATTAAACATAAACAATATCTGACGAAAACTAGCATCACGATGTACGATGAACGGATACAATATGAGGATCCGGAGAGGATCCTCAGTCAGTTGTATTAATAATGCATTATTTGAATATTAATAATTTCGTTTTTAATATTATTTATTATATGCATTGTATCATTTGTATTAATAATGCACTATTTATTATGTGAATTATATGCATTGTATCTGTGACATCCCACATCGTTCAGGGGAGTGATCCTTATATGTATATTCTCATCCCTACCTAGCACGAGGCCTTTTGGAAGCTCACTGGCTTCGGGTTCCGTAGGAACTCCGAAGTTAAGCGAGAAGGGAGCTAGAGCAATCCAATGATGGGTGACCCACTGAGAAGTTGCTCGTGAGTTTCCAAAAACAAAATTGTGAGGGCGTGGTCGGGGCCCAAAGCGGACAATATCGTGCTACGGTGGTGGAGCGGGCCCGGGAAGTGGTCCGCCCCGGGTCGGGATGTGACAATTTGGTATCAGAGCCTTACCCTGGCTGTGGTGTGCCGACGAGGACGTCGGGCCCCTAAGGGGGGTGGATTGTGACATCCCACATCGTCTAGGGGAGTGATCCTTATATCTATATTCTCATCCCTACCTAGCACGAGGCCTTTTGGGGGCTCACTGGCTTCGGGTTTCGTAGGAGCTCCGAAGTTAAGCGAGAAGGGGGCTAGAGCAATCCCATGATGGGTGACCCACTGGGAAGTTGCTCGTGAGTTCCCAAAAACAAAACTGTGAGGGCGTGATCTGGGCCCAAAGCGGACAATATCGTGCTACGGTGGTGAAGCGGGTCCGAGAAATGCTCTGCCCCGGGCCGGGATGTGATAGTATCAGTAGTCTATTTGATTTCATTTTTATCTAAAATTCATTATTTAATTAATAATATTAATAAATATAAATATATGTAAATATCATAATGGGGAAAATCGTTACCCGAAAAATTCGTTATTCAACGGATTCAATCATATAGAAAACCCGTTAGAGGAATTCTATAGTTTTGGGTTCAAGTATGAGAATGACACATCTGAATCCGATCCACCTCATTGCCATCCTAAACTCTAGGGTACTGATTTTTTATTTTTTAAATTTAAAAGAAGGTGAAATTGTATAAAAATTAGGAGAATCAATAGTCCTCATGTCATTGTATTTTGTAAAGAATAGGTTAAGTGACTTGATCATGTAGGTCTTACTTTATGGGTAATTATTGGCGGCCCTCTAAAAGTGCATTACAGTTACTTTAAATGCCAGATTATTTTCTCTAGGTTAACCAATCATTGTAGTTTTCGTGTCAATTTGATTGTAATGCACTGTTACACTACTTTGACCGTGTGGATCTCGCTTTTTGGGTAATTACAGAAGCTTATTGTTTTTTTTACTAATACTATTCATACCATATTTTTGTACCACATTTTCATATTATATTATGTGACATTTTCATACTACCTTAGGTCGTATTTGATATGGACAGCCACATCATTTGAATTAAACAGATTTTTAAATTTAGTTCATTATTTAATAAACTAATAATTATGAAAAACTAATTAATTAAATGTTGATTGTGGTATACAGGGAGTCTTTCTCTTTCATTTTCTTGGATTTTACAAATTTTTCAAATGATGCGGCTGTCCACATCAGATGCTACCTAAAATGATGCGGCTGTCCACATCAGATGCTACCTAATATGGTATAGAAAAGTAGAATAAAAACATGATATGAATAACATTACTTTTTTTTTTTAAATGATTAACTGTTAACAAGCCACGGTTATCCATTCCATCTATATGTTAAAAAGACTCACAGAGACATTTCAGCCTCCCCTTGACCACAAGTTCGGCTTCAACACTAACAGCGGGTTTCAAACCCGAGACCTCCAATTTTGTATTTGAAGAAAGCCTCGCAATCCGTCATTTACTACTAGGCCACCCGCTCATGATTATTTTGGATACTTATTGGAAGACCTTTTAGCCCTAATTTGGTACTAAAGTGATTCTGAAAAAAAGTGGCTATCAAAAAAAGATGAGAGCTTTTTTATGTTTGGTAAACATTCAGCTTCAGTTTTTTTTTTTTCATAATTTTGGGTAAAAAAAGCCAAAAACACAAAGCTACAAAACCCAACTTCGAAAAACTAGCTTTTTTTTTTCACATCTGTTTTACATAAAAGTTTATCAAACACTATAATATTGTTTTTTTTTTTTTCAGAAGCACTTTTACAAAAAAGTTTACCAAACACTCTGCTGTTTTATTTCACAGCTGCTTATTATTACAGCATAACATAAACATTTTTTTTTCAATGCACAACAATACCAAATCAGCCCTTAAAATGAACTACACTTGTTCTACCGGCTAGATTCGATTTTCCGTTGAACTTGCTTAGAATCTTGGTTAAACAACCAACGTAAATTTCATGTTAGTTTGATTGCAATCCGCGCATTGTGCTCCTTGATTAAGTAAATCATCTTTCCAATAGTTGCTAACGACTCTCGAAAAAAGCACTACACTTGCTTAGGGCCACACAAATACTTCGTTAATCGAAACGAATTTAATTGTGTTCGAAACACGAATAGTATATTATGTATTTTTATGTAAAGGGTAGGAAGTTTTGTTTTTGAAGTTATTAATTTTTTAACACATATATCTCACTATTTATATAGAATACGTTATGTATTATCTTATGTATCAATTACATTGAAAAATTTCTCATTTAATCTTGCAAATTCTTTCTAAGCCTAAATTCAGTATTTTCTATTTATTCAGCTCGTCGACAGTCGTTACTTTGTTTTCTGTCTCCAACTTAAGAATATGATTTACTTCTATTTGCACACTTTTCTAGAATTGACCAAATTTATCAAACAAATTTTAAAGTGCGTTTTTTGTTGTTGTTGTTAGACAATAATATAATGGATTTGGTTGAAGATTATTAATTTAGTTTAAAATTCGTTATTTATATGAATTGAATTTAAAAAATTTCAGTTTAAAAACTAGAATAATAGAGTATAGTGCTAAGTAACAGCTGTATGTTGTGGTGGGCCCTTAATCATGCAAATAGCACACATCATGCCGGAGTGCATTTTTATTCATTACATTAAGTTATCGTAATGCCCATAGATAAAAATATTGAATATTTAAAATTTAGAAATTTTAACGAAATATTTTTTATACTGTTCATTTTTAATGAAAAATCATATTTTTACTATTTGTCACTTTTCTTTAAATTAAAAGTTTTTTTTTTTGAACCTTTTGTTAATTTTCTTTTAAAATTTTGAGATTTGTCTATTCAATTCCACTACAGATCTCGAAATTTAATTCTATCTAACGGTGATAAATAAGATATTAAGCATCATCCCAACTTGAGAATGGTGAGCAAAAATATTCTCTCAAGCCGTCTTCAACAGAAGGACCGGTCTAAATCATAGCCCTGAACGCCGGCTCAGGAGACACTCCGACGGGGCTAGACTGGAGTGGACTGGACGGAGATCCCCCGGACTCGATTTTTTTCTTCCGTCCTTCTTTGCTCTGCACAATGGCGGCAGGTGGAGCCCTTCTCTGAAATTTATTTGCTGTCACACCCTAAAACTATGAATTTTCAGCTTTATATATATATATATTTTTTTATATCTGGAAATTTGATGGTTTATTCCGTACAATGCGTTATAGTAATCAGATTTTTTTTTTCTGCTTCTACTTGTTGTTTGGATGGTGGGAAAGTTTGTGGCTAAGGAGGAAGAGGAAAAGCTTCGGTTTTTCTATTTACTCCTACATTTTCTCGGCATCCAAACAGATCTTTTTGATTTTGAACTGCCTGTGATCACTATTTGGTAAGTGGGAGAAAAAAAATGAGGAAGCTTTGGGAATTCTCGCATTTTCTCGGCAGCCAAACAGAACCGCTGATGCCGAAAAGCAAAAAAGATATTGAAATCCGTGCAGTATTACATTATATTATATTATATTAGAATTGATTGTTTTCGGTACGAGTGGTTCATGGATTAATGGGATTGTAGGTTAGTAGGGGACTAAACTATCCAGTATTTGTGGGTCATGTTATTTTTGTGGGGTATGTGGGGTTTCACTTGTAATTTGCAATTTTTTGGTCCACCACTTGTATTTTGCATGTGTTGAATCCGATATGGAGTTAGCGGGTTCACGTTGTATGTTGCTTGATGGAAGCACGAATATAATGACTCGTTAGTATAAGTGTTCAACGTTGTTTAATACAAGCACGAATATATTATGATTCATTAATAAGCTAAAAAGTGGATCATGTTGATATTTTGGATGTGAATAACCTAATTTTGACACAATAAACTTGTTTAACTCGAATTATATTGTATAAAAAGTGATTAATTTCTCTTCTTTTTGAAGCCTTTTGTGTTATTTCTTAATCTTTAATTTATGAGTTTTTGTTAGTGATTTGATGAAGATGATTTGCCAAATTAAACTGATTGCTTGGTATAAACTTCTGCATTGCAGGTGGCACTTTGGTCTGTGGAACTAGCACCTAAACAGCAAGAGGCCTCTGATTTGTGAGATTGCTTGTTCATCAAACTTCTGCATTGGCCATGTCTGGTAACCCGAAAGTTGTAAACGCGTTTCGTGTGACGAGGGCCTTGGGGATTCCTGATGCAGAGATCAAACCGGTGCTGAAGGATTTGCTGCGAATGTATGATAAAAAGTGGGAGCTTATAGAAGAAGACAACTACAGGACTCTTATAGATGCATATTTCGATTCTAAGGAAAACAAGGTAGGACCTATTATTTGTTCTTGTAGTTATTGACACACACACACACACTTGTGACAGAGTTTAAATTGGGAACAAATGGACTCAAAACGCTTAGCCTATATATTTACATCTAGGGTTAAAAGTGGTGGTGGGTTTGGGTTTTAACACTTACCAAAGTGCGTAAAAGGAAAAACATTGGAGTAGAAACTCAAATTTGAGTTTAAACAATTTTGGTATGTGTAATGGAGATGGTTGACGTTACAATTCTTGTTGAATAACATCTTTTCTTGTTGGAGTGAGCTTCACAAACTCAAGAGTTACATTGAAACCGGAGTATAATGTTTGATTTGACTCAACAGCTATATATGAGTTTTAACATTCCGGTGTTTTGGGAAGGATAAATGATACATTTGGAGCGAAATATAACATTTGAGTCCGAACTTTCCGGTGCATTGGAGAGGACTTTGTACTAGTTCTTGTCTTTTACCTTTTCTGTTTTGGAATAGGGAAAAGAAGAGAAGAGAGAAGCTATGGAGCTTGATGGGTCTGAAAGACCAGGAAAAAGGCTGCATTTGGCCAATGACAGAGGAAAGAAACCCATTGCACCTCATCTGGTCTCTGGAGATAGAAAAATTTCAATTGGTAATCACAAGAAAGACTTGGTGATTCCAAAAACAGAGGAAGGCACAGACACCATTTCATCTTCTTTCGAACGTGCAGTACCGGTGAGACGTCCAGGTACTTCTTTTCTTCCCACTGTATGATATTATTGTTATCTGTTACAAGATGGTCACAATCCGTTCCTTTAGGCCCTCGTTTTGTGTCAAGGATTGTATTGGATAACTCACTAGATTCAATGTATGTTGAATGAAGAAATAAATGCTTACTTACAAAATTGTCAATGTTAATGATAGGAGTTGAATTAGGTATTATGGAAACTTATCATGATTCTCTTCCCAATCCCCCCGAGAGCGATAATTTCTTTCATGACTAATTCATCTTCGACCTTACAAATTTTGGAAGTTGGCATATATGTTTTCCTTCAACACACATTGAGGGTTATCCAAGATCTATCCAACTAATTCCAATCCTCCATAAATATGATTACTTTCTTATCCTGACTACCCATAATATTGTTGTCTAGCTCTTCCAGATTCGTCTCGAGGTTCAACTGGGGGTAACTCTGGATCATCCTCTACTGAAGTGGGTAGAAGTGCGCGTGACCTCACTTGCGGGGATAACCATGTTTCAAGACCGATGAATCGACAATGTGGAACAGAACGTTCACAGGCTGATTTAAATGGTGTGGATTCAAGCTGTCCCATCACTTGCGAGGACAGGAAGCCAGTCAATTTTTTCCGTGACATCACGAAATCTACGGAGAAAGTGAAAATATCATTGGTAGATGAAACTGGAAATGAGTGCCTGCCAAAGTTCAATTACATACCGCACAATATTATCTACCAAAATGCCAATGTGAATATCTCACTAGCTCGGATTTCAGATGAAGATTGCTGCACTGACTGCTCTGGAGATTGTCTTTCAGTGGCAATACCATGTGCATGTGCTCGTGAAACAGGTGGGGAGTATGTGTATACACCACAAGGCCTACTAAAAGAAGATTTTTTAGCAGCTTGTGTCAAGGAACCAGAGGTGCACAACTTTGTTTATTGTCAAGACTGTCCAAATGAGAGGTCTAAGAACGAGTACTACCCTGAAAAATGCAAAGGTCACCACATCAGGAAGTTTATAAAGGAATGCTGGAGAAAATGTGGATGTGACTTGTCGTGTGGAAATCGGGTAGTGCAAAGGGGTATTTCTTGTAAGTTACAGGTTAGTTTCACTTTCTATCTTTCATTAGGAACTACCGTTTTGGACTTTGAACTGTCATACCAAAACTAATATGAGTTTCGTTACCTCCACATTGCATCTAACTATCTAAGTTCGAAGAAGTATAGTAAAGAGACGCTTTTTAACTGTTAGGTGTCAAAACTATTACTGTCTGTATGTTCTTAAGGAATTTACTGGTTGAAGTTACATAATACTTCAGGATAACTTTTATTTCTTTATTTTTGTGCTATTCTTAATCTTGTAGTTTATTTTGAAGCATCCATGGAAAATGATCGTTAATTCTTAACTAATCAGTAAGCATTTCTTGTTCTGATATGCTTCAGGTATTCGTGACTCCTGAAGGGAAAGGCTGGGGTGTTAGGACATTAGAGGTCTTGCAGAAGGGGACATTTGTCTGTGAATATGTTGGGGAGATACTGACCAACACTGAATTATACGAGAGAAATAACCAAAGCAGTGGAGCTAAAAGACATACCTACCCCGTATTGCTAGATGGAGATTGGGGCTCAGAGCGAATTTTGAAGGATGATGATGCCCTTTGTCTTGATGCAACATCACATGGAAATGTTGCCAGATTTATCAATCATAGGTAATACTTCAATTCGTGTGCATTTTAGTTTATGTATATTTTGGTGACTGTTCATTGCTTTGTCTTTGTCTTACACTAGGCAGGTCACCTTTGCCATTTGCACGTCTTTATAAATGTATATGTACCTGCATTTTTAATCCTTAGTACGCTTGCCATTTCGGTGCTACGACTTAGAGTTGAGGAATCTTAGCATAAGTAGTCAGAAAGTTCACCATTAATTCCTACCGAGTTAAAAAAACAAGTGGAACTTCTTGCATCTTATAAACTATTAAGAACAATTGTCATATTCATTGAACTCAACAGAGATCATCTAAATCTGAAGTTTTTAATCAATAGCTATGCTTGTGAATCGTCTGCCTGTATTGAACTTGTGTTTGTTTGAATATTCTCGTGATTCCAGATGCTCTGATGCAAACTTGATTGATATCCCAGTTCAAGTGGAGACTCCTGACCGTCACTACTATCACGTATGGGTTGGCTTGCTTTCCATGTCATTGCTCGCACACACATACACACTGTAATTATACACCGTGCGAAAGAGCTTCTCTGATACCTTCTTTGTGAATCTGCAGCTTGCCTTTTTTACTACCAGGAAAGTGAATGCATTTGAAGAGCTGTCGTGGGTGAGTGAACGCTTGCCTACTGTTATATGTTTGCTATAATTTATCTTCTATGGTCGATGTTTCTGTTTCCATATATTAATAAGTTTGTGTTCACAAAATGATGAGGAAAATCCTTTTACAGGATTATGGTATTGACTTTGATGATCATGGACACCCTATAGAGGCATTTTCGTGTAATTGTGGTAGTGTAGCTTGCCGGGGAAAGAAACAGAATGGACGGAAAGAACGCAGAGGTAAACTAATACTACACATCTTAGAAAGGCATTCATAGCTTATTTTTATATGCGGTCCACACGCCACAAACATCAAATGCTCTACTGAAATAGATTTCGCGAAAATCCAGCTATGTATCCGATATAGTTTTAACTTTTAAGTAGGGTGCTTGGTTTGTAGATGTCATGTTCTACAACGAAGATAGGGATGAGCGATATGTCACTTGGTTTTACGGTTTTTACATGGCACTGCTTGCACATTACAATATTTTCGATAGTCTATGAAGTGAAACCAAGTTTGGGATGCCTAACAAGAAGTATAGAAGATGAATGAATTTGAATGTGAAACGAAAAGGGTCAATGTTGCAGATTATGCTCCGCCCTCCAGTTACGAAAACTTTAAGTTTATCTACTTCAAACCCTCTTCGTTGCTGTTAATTATCGCTGTTTTAATGTGCAGGGAAAAGATTTGTGTTGGGATAGCTGATGATAACTATCACTGGTACCGAGAACCTGCGGCTGATCATTCGAGTATGGCAGTGCTTCCTTCAGAGCTCGGAAACTGGAGAATTTTGTGTTGGAGGAGGAAAATGTAAGCAGAATGTTGGAGATGAACTTTTGTAGAAGCTGTAGTAGAAGCTGTGTTTTATACACAGGATGATATTATTTAGGTTTCTTACTTTTTATGGGAACTTTAACGAAAAACTGCAGGTACTGTTCATTTTAACGAAAAATCATATTTTTACACTAAAAAGTCAATCCGGATACTATTTACTTGATCATTTATTTTGTCCTTATCGTTAAAACTCAAACTTTTCAAATCATTTTCATTAATTTTCTTTTTACTTTTTTGTTTCTCTTATTTCATCTTCCAAAATTTGTGCCCATTTAACATTGAGAAATGACCTCATGTTTTTCAGTTTTGGTTCTTTATCTCCCCTGTCCTAAATGAAGGGAAATTGATGCCCTACAAGGATTTGTAGGTCAATGTAATTAGAGGAACTAATTATCATTCATAAGTTTAAATATCAACTTTTTTTTTTAGGTCGAAAATATCAACTAATTGATTGAAAAATGATGAAAGGTCATAGGTTAGAATTTCATAAATGACGAGTGCCTAACTAATGTATCAATCACCCCTTAATATATATAGGGAAGTGATTTTCACATGTCATTTTTAGCTTCTTACGTATCTCTTTTTATTTATGATCATCAAATTGGATAAATCAAATAAAATCAACGGTCGAAATTAAACATGGGTGTATAAAAGAATAAAAAGAATGTGCGAAAATCACATCTATATATAAATCCGAGTGTAAAATTAGTTAAAATTAGTTATTTCAGAAGATAACGATTATGCATAAATATTTAAAAGAATGTTGGTATAATGTATAATACTGTAAAATGTTAACTTGCGTGCCCATACTTGTTCACTCATTTTTTTTTTCGGTTGACAACGGGCATAGAACGAAAGAAAAGAAAAATTATAATAGAATATTACGAAATTATGAGACTTAAGTTATATTTCTTATAAATTGAACCAGTATAAATTAGTACGTAGAAACAACTTCGGTTTTGAATGTAAAGTGTACTTAAATATTTCTAATTATTTGATTTTACCCACTTCTTTTTAATACTTTCACATAAAAAAAAAAAAAAAAACTCTCACTTGTACTATGTTATAATTTTATTGATTTATCAAAATACATTTTAATATTTTCAATAATTATACTATATTTTTGCTCTCAATTTTTGTGTAGACGAAAAACCCTAGAACCTCACTAATATTTAGCCTCCGTCGCCCAAAACCACTGTCACACTTCTCACTCTTGAGATCTGAAGCCTCTCTGGTGCAGCTATGTCGAAACGAGGTCTCTCTCTCTCTCTCTCTCGTTTTAGTATTTCTGGGTCTTTCAAAGATTCAAACTTTCCTGCTTTCTGATCCAAAATTTTCTCAGCAACCAATCAGAACTTGATGGGTTTTTCTGTTCGATGTTAAAAGTTAATTGATTTGTTTAATTTTCGATTCGTTTAAATTGCAGGGCGTGGAGGGTCCGCCGGAAACAAGTTCCGGATGTCGCTGGGTCTGCCGGTGGCCGCCACCGTGAACTGCGCCGACAACACCGGTGCCAAGAACCTTTACATCATCTCCGTGAAGGGAATCAAGGGTCGCCTCAATCGCCTTCCTTCTGCTTGTGTTGGTGACATGGTGATGGCTACTGTCAAGAAGGGCAAGCCTGACCTCCGAAAGAAGGTCTTGCCGGCCGTCATTGTCCGCCAGCGCAAGCCGTGGCGCCGAAAGGACGGGGTTTTCATGTACTTTGAAGGTAGTTAATTGTGTTTGTATTGGATAAATGATGTTCCTTTGTGTTGATATGAATATATTTAGAGGAAAAAAAAAAAAACCGAAAGGACGGTGTTTTCGTGTAATTTGAAGGTTGTTAATTGTGTTTTTATTGGATGCATTATGTTCCTTTGTCATGGTATTAACATGTTTAGAGGAAGCAAAAGTGTTTGATTGGTTTTGAGTCAGATTGAAACGAATGCTTATAGCAAATGTGGAAGTTTTCGGGATGTCGGGATCACCTTGTTTTTGTTTTGGTAGTTGGACTTTGTAGTTCCATGTTCTCCTGCATCACCTTGTTTTTGTTAATATTGTTTGGGGAATAGTTGTGGGAAATTGGGGATTTTGGAGTTTGAATGGTTGTTTAGGATGGTTACTCTGATTGATTATTTACGTTTTGTTGACATCCGGTGCGTTTTATTTTCATATGAATTTGACATTAAGCTGACCATTTTTGGTTCGGACAATGTGGAGAATTTAGGAAGAAGGTTGTAAATATTATGCGTTGCAGTATTAGTTTAGCGCATTTTGAAAATTGAAGTATCTCGGTGTGCTTTTAGTTTAAGATCTGCTCTTATGATGATAACAAGGTTCTGCTTCTCAAGGTTTCTGACCATGACTGTTCTTGTGATGCAGATAATGCTGGTGTCATTGTCAATCCGAAGGGAGAAATGAAAGGTGCGTAGCGATTCTATAACATCTCCGCCTATTAATAACTTCAATACGATAATAGACTATTGTGTGGTTTCGGAGCTTTACAGAGCATGCATTATTGATTAAACTCATTGATTATGTAGCCTTGAAGTCCCAAGTAATGTTGTCTTAGTTTCAGCTGATTTGAAAATAATTGTGTCATCTGACGTTACTGTTGTTAACTTTTAACATTGTAGGACCATCATCGTAATAATGTTCTTCATTTCACTTGCACTTATTATACTGAATACTAACTCATATTTTCTTGGTATTGTTGTAGGGTCTGCAATCACCGGACCTATCGGAAAGGAATGCGCCGATCTGTGGCCAAGAATTGCAAGTGCTGCCAATGCCATCGTTTAAGTTCTTCACTTTTCTGTCTTTAGGATGTTTTTGCTGGTTTTCTGGATGTTAAATTCATTATCATGTAGACTCTGTTATGATTATGAAATGGATCCTCTTTCGTTTAAATGTTTGCTGGTTTTCAGGATATTAAATTTTCACGGTCGTGCCTCAGTCCATTTCTTTCTGCTTTTTCTTCCCGACCCTTATTGATCTGTCATAGATCTATTTCGGTTGCGCGATTTTTGCGTGATTGCATTGCCAAATCGAACTACTGCATTAAGGTGTGGTAGACTGGTTTGAGTTGATTATGGTTATGCTTTATCTCAACCCTAAACCCTACACAAGTTCTTCTCAGAGCAATATGATGACGCCACAAAAAACTTCCACGTCCTTCATTTCATTGGCACGGAATGCCACTTTGGCCATGAACCAGTGTCATGTAAGTCCTCATGAGAGATGTCCTACGGTTGAAGTGGTATGGTGACATCCCTCTCATCATGAGACCTAGAATCTTCTTGTTTAGCTGCGACTAAAGAATTTTAACGCTAACAGTTTTAAACGTAGGAAAAATCAGAGGCTTTTACTGAGTTGGAAATTGGAACAATTGAGAAGTCTAGGAGTTGTTCATCCAACTCAACTCCTTGAAGTCACATTATTTAAGCCTCTTTCTATCATCACTTATCAGTCTATCGAAACTCAGACCAAAAGAAAGCTCTCAAAAACTAATACGAAACACAATCTGCAGCTCATTAACGAACCGTTCGATCTTCTGCTTTGCTCCTCATCATCCCATCTTACCAACTGCGCCCTTCTGCAACTTCGAACAGTACTCGAACAAGCTTCCATCGAAACAGCGTCTCACGGCTTCCTTTGCCAAGTAGCCGTTTTCATCTTTTGCAAGAACATACAGAACTCCCCATTCCAGTTTACTTGCAATCCTGCAAACAGTAACGAAAATTAATGAACTGCACTTCCGTGTTATGTTTTTGCGTGTGCTCGAGAGAAAGAGAGAGAGAGAGACCGACCAGCCAAAGAAATCAAAAGCGTCACGGTTAGCCTGAGTCATGTGCCAAAGCTCCTTGAATGAAAGCTTATCAGGCACAGTGCGGGCATACTTGCTGAACATGTTCTCCAGATTTGCAGGAATGTACCTGCAGCATACAATGCAAGGCAAAGATATATAAAGTTTGCAGTAGTTATAGTAGAACCCCGACAGTAATGATCATCCGGTCTAGTGGTCTAGTGACACGTAGTTTCCCCATTTTACTGGATGAGGTAATGACGTCAAATCTCATGAACAGATAATTCTTCAAATAATCTATAACACACGTTTCGAATCGAACAATCACATCTGAGAGACCCTTCCTTAGGTTTATGGGCAGGTATTCTTACCTTCCCTCTGTGTCATACGTCCCTGAGTCACTTCCATGCTTTGCCATGTGTATGTTCTTTATGTGAATTGCAAAGAAAGGCGACGGTATCCATGTCTGCAGAAGAAGAAAATGAATACAAAAATTAAGCAGTTCTAGTGACAAATAAATCAGATAATGCAGATAGATGGCTGTTAAAAGTTAAATATTGCCGCAAATGTGCGTAAGGATAGTGTGCTTGCGTGCACCCTTGCACCCAAGTTCGAATCCCGTCTCATAAATTAGACTAGATTAGAATATCTCGCCTTGTCTGTTCAAACTTTGGTAAACTTACAGGAAGAGTAGCATAACTCATGGCTGCATGGACAAGAACCATGAAAAGGAATGAAGCAACCGGATTAAACCCGAGGGCACGAAATCCTGCAAGAACAGATTCAAGTAAGACGATCCATTTTTGTACGTGACATGACAATCGCAAACCCTAAAACTTCAAAATTGATTTACCTCTGAATGTTTCAGAAGGGTAGATTATGCCATCGTTGTCTTGGTCGAAGAAAGCTGCATGCTGTTGAAGCACAGACATGTTGGAATGCTTATGGCCCGATGTGCCATTGATGTTCTCCATATCAGGTGCAATCATAGCCCTAGGCATGTCTGAAATTAACAAGATTTAATTAAAAAAAATAAAAATTAAGCAGTTGATTCATGCATTATTATGCATGTGATCATGTGAAACTATCGCTAATTTTCTAGAACATAAAGGTAAAACTTAAACCAATAGTTCGGCCATGGAACGAACGTATATTTTTTATATTAAAGAACATATACTGTGAATATATCATCAATAATCTATCAATATCATTGTAAAAAGCAAAATGTACGACCATAATATACACATACATGGTTTGGGGAGCTTGGTCTCCAAATCATTGCGGACCTTCCTCTCCGCGGTGATCGGAGCCTTCTCAGCCACCGTTGCCATGGACTCACTGGATGCCTGCTGCTGGCCCTGATCTGCTGCCATCTCTCTCTCTCTCCCTCTCTCTCCCTCTCTCTCTTTCAGCACTTCAGCTAATAATTATGTTCACAAGGAACTTAATTTTCTCTGTGATTGTAATTAATTACTCTAAATATTAATTAATATAGAACAAATCATTTTGAAAATTAAGAAGATGAAAATTAAGCACAACAAACTCCAAGCGACTCGCAGTGGTTATCGCTTCTATTTTCTACTTTTCAACACTATCGTATGGTTTTACTAATTTATGTGCAATATTATATATAAATATAGTATGATATCAACTTACGTGTTATAATATAATATTAATAATTAATCATCATGCACTCGTGTAAAAAAGTATCATAGCTGGAGTGCATGATGAGAATCTATTTGCCATGTTGGTCGCCTTTACATTGAAGATAACAAGAATCATACATTGGAAATTTAACAGATTAAGTTAAAATGTATAACGAATGTTTTCACTTGTTGAACTTAAGAGCGCTTTACTATCACAGTAATTATTTTGTAACCCCGATTCATCTTGCATGTATAATGACATCATAATATTTGGTGATAAAACCGCATGTCTATTGTGCTAGTAGGTCGTAGAATGCAAGTTAAAACAATATTAATGTGATTAGTAATGAATCGTTGATCCGTGAATTTAAATCTTACTTCTTGAAAATATGTTTGACTACCTGTCCAGAAGATCATGAATGAGTAAATTGGCTAAATCTTGATTGCCCTGATTGCAATGATGATTCAATGATTGTTCTCACTAAAGATATATAGATAATTTCAATTTAAACTCGCTAACATACTCCCTTAATTTTTTTTTCTTTTCCACCATAACTCCTAAATTTTCACACATGTGTTCCGGCTTCGAAATTCTCATTTTTCTAAATTATTGTAGTAGTTTGTACTCTCCTCTCAATAAAATAATTGAAAAAAAAAGGTTTCAAAGCAAGTTACACGAACATTCTGCAAGTGACTTGTAACTCAGTTGGTTAAGAATTTTTGCCCTTACACCCTAGATTTCATTTTCAAATCCCCCTTTTTGTAGTTTAATCTTATCCTTTATCAACAGAAACATATTTATGAACCTCGATTAGTTAAAAAAAAAGTCACATGAACATGAAAAATGATCCATATTATGTGGAAGGAAAGCTCAATTCATGTGATAAAGGAGCAATGAGTAATTGACCAAATTTACATAAAACCCTATGGTTGTTGTAAGACTAACTTTCAGAGTGGGTGAGAGAGAGAGGGCCAAAGACAGAGCGAACGGCTCAAGTGCACGTGAATTGCGTTTCCAAACCTTGTAACTTTATTTATACCAATTATGGTGGTCTTTTTTGCTTTATAAATAATACAAAGTTTATGACAATTGATCTCTAAATCTTCTAGAAATTCTATTTTAGGTTTACAACGTTACATTCTTGAATAAACACACTAATTATAGCGGTGGTATCTTTTTACCTTTTTGCTATAAACCATAAATTTATTAAAAAAAAGGTCACATTTTAATTTTGCAAAATTACTTTTTATTTTGTTTACTAACAAAATTACTTTCTGCCCCTTAGTACTCGATCTAGTGATATTTCTTTTCACTTGTAAAATAAAGATTTTAGGTTCAATTCTCATCAAAGACGTATTTAAACCATTATTGCTAACTCATTTTAAGATTTTGTCATCCCCTCATTTTAGTATAAATAATATCGTTGATTTAAGAAAAAAAATAATTTCCAAAGAAAAGAAAATTACTTTCCAAAGAAAAAAAAAAATCCTTTCCAAGGAAAATAAAAATTTTGCAAGTGGACCCAAGAATAAATGGGAAATAACGTCAAAAGACAAAGAGGGACCACTTTTAAATGGGTCCCACCTTCCTTGTGTGCATGGCAGGCGGCGGCCATGTAGATCTTACCAGCTTATCATATATGGTAATGTTCAATACAATATTCTTCTAGTTGAAAAGCTGAAGGTGTACTGTAATGTATTATTCAGTTTACATAATGATGAGTGTTATTTTATTTTATTTTTTATGTGAAGAACGGGGATTATAATCCAAAGAGAACTACAAAACACCAGCGAAACGAGTCTGAGAGACTCCAACAGCATCATCAATGAGAGCTGATCTAATCTAAACGGGAGGTTCATCAAATACAAGAACACCAATATTCATATTATAACTTCAGTTAACCAACTGATCCGTCACAATATTCTTTTCTCTATAAATGTGATTGATGAGTGTTTTTGAGTCATGCTTGTTTAGTTTTGTGGAAGCAGGTTCGAGAATCGAACAACTGCAGGTTAATATGTTTCATGCTTTCTGTAAATTAACCGGTAAAATATATTTATTCATCTCTGCATTAAATTATGAAAAATAAAATAACAGAGTTACATAAAATTATGAAAAATAAAACGGATACCTCCTCAAATATCCTCAAAATTCACCATTTTACGAAAGAAGTTGAGCATATTAACCATTTCTTCTGCTTGTGGATGACAAAGATCACCAACAAAGAATTCTTCGCCCGTGCCATTTACCTCTATCACACTGGAACCAGGTTTCTTCTTCATTCCCGCTTCATAGATCATATTTCTGACTCTTTTCGCCTCCAATTCCCAGCCAGCTTCCTTGTACAAATTATACGAAAGAACATGAATGCCACAGTCGGTTACTCCCATGAACTCTTCCAAGTTCTGTTGCCAACTTCAACATTCCCATGAACTCTATATGCAGCCAGTAATGCTCCCCACACGTTGGCATCACCCCTTCCTAGCCCTCCCATCTTGTCCTCTATAAATTTCTCAGCTTCCTCCACCATGCCTGCTCTAGCCAATAGGTCAACCGTTTTTGCATGTGTGCAAGCCGAGAGAACGGCAACAAATGTGGTCTCTGTGGGTTGTATCCTATCTAAAACCATTTTATTCAAGAGTTCAAGTGATTTCAATGCATCCCCATTAATTGCAACTCCAGCGATCATAGCGTTCCACGCTTTAGCATTTGTTAAGAATGCCCTCAAAAACCCGTAATGCTGCTTCCACATATCCGCATTTCGAGTAGTGGCCAATCTCGTGTTCAATTCAAGATTGCACCTTTTAGCATAGGAGTGCACCCATAGTCCTTGTGTGACCGCACCGAGATGAGCAGAGGCAGTCAGAACACTAACAAGAACCGACTCATTAGGCTTTGTGCCTGCTTCTTGCATTTGCCTAAATAAAGAAAGCACCTCCCTGAAGTCGTTCACCCGAGAATACGCAGCCATCATCGCACTCCAAGATATGGTGTTTCTCTCTGGCATTTCGTCAAACAAGGCTCGAGCATTCTCAACATTCCCTGTCTTCCCATACCCGTTAATCATTGCCGTCCACACTACCACATCCCTGTTAGGACTTTTATCAAACACCATCTTTGCAGTTTCCATATCATAGATTACGGCATAAAACTCAATCAGCGAGCTAATAACAAAAGGGTCGTCACCATACCCGAACTGAATCACATGGCCATGAACTAATCGACCACTGAGCTTCAAATTCAGTGCGAGAATCGTGCATGCTTTAATCAACGGCGGAAAAGTGTAGTTATTCGGAACAAACCCATAATTCAACATGTCTAAATAGTACGAAATGGCGGGAACCGGCGAGTGCGACTGAACACATCCTCTGATCATGGTGTTGTACATGAAGATGTTGCGGTGGTTATGGTGGTGCTTGAAAATTGAGCACGCGTAGGATAAAAAGGAAGCATCTTTGGAGGTTGCTGCCGCGGAGAGGAGCAGAGCAATGGCGTACAGGTTTTCGGGTAGACGGCATGTACGGATGGGGGCGTGGATTTGCTTGAGCTGGTTTAGGCTTTTGCATTTTTGTGGGAGGGAAACAAGGCCGTTGCTTTTAACGGTTTTCTGAATCATCTGAATTGGCGGGTTACCCTTTGGGCGGTCCCAAGAAAAGTATGGAGATATGGGGTGTTTACAATTACAACTTGGTTCAAATAATTATACTCTTGCACTTCGTACTACAAAACATAGGTGTCAGGGGTAAGGCATTTATAAGGGGTAGGATTTAGTTTTAATCTCATGTGTCAGCCATGGTTCGTCGTACAAAACATAGGTGCCAGGGATAAGGCATTTATAAAGGGTGCGTTTAGTATTAATTCCATGGATCGACCGTTGTTGCCTGCATGAAGCATTGGTGTCGGAATAGGGCATTTGTAGGCTGTTATCAATAAGGGGTATGATTTCGTTTTAATCTTAAGGGTCAACCATAGTTGGCCAGACAATGCATTGTTGCCTGGGGTAGGCATATTATAAGTCACTATCAACCATTATAGGATACGCACTAAAGTCATAAGTTGTAACATAGTAACCCCTATTTAAGGGAAAAAAAAAAACATTTCTCTGCTGTGTTGTGGCGATGGAAAAAAAATTTGAATACGCTGGGCAATGAGACATGCTGAACTCAGGGTGTTATTATTAACACGCCACTAAACACTTGAACTCATGGTGTTACTATTCACATGCCCCTAAACACTAAACCTCATAGGCCTCCACTGCTTCTACTGCGCCTTGAGCTTTCTAGTGGGCCGCATAAGTTTGGGCTTGAGCGTGAGTTTGAACTGCGTCTCCTTGCGTCTAAACCATTAATTTTATTTATTTTAAGTTTTATTTTTGTTAAATTTTCGTCTTGCCCATACCACAACACGAAACTATCATCTTTATATTCTACAAAATGTATTTTTGGTGAAAATTTTCTTATAATCCATGTCAAAAAATTCGAAAATAAGGATATAAATATAAAAGGTGTTTGAATCCAAATAAAGTTACGCAAGAAGAAAAAGAAATTCAATGGAAAAAGAAAAAGAAAAAAGGAAAGGTAAAAATGTTACGATCGGTACTTTTATTCCTATTGTCTTTGAAAAAAGTTGCTAGTTACCTAGCGATCCTATAGAAGTACAATCGCTAAATAACTAACAATTATACTTGAATACAGTCGCTAATTTCATACCGATCCCCCTCTTTTCAAATTT